CCTTCTTCTTCTTCTTCTTCTTCTCTCTCTCTCTCTCTCTCTCTCTCTCTCTCTCTCTCTCCTTTCTTTCTTCTATATATTTTTTTTGCTTGCTTTCTTAGACTGGGTCACACCAAGTCACTAAATTGCCCAAGTTAGGCTCAAACTTGCAATCTTACCCTCAGTCTCTCAAGGGCTGTGATTATAGGCCTTCATGCCAGTTCCCTTCTTTTATCTGTCACAGGGTCTTACAGCCCCTTAATGTTTTCCCTCAAGTTAGTCATAATTTAAAAAAATCGCTTAGTAAAAGCTTGATGACGGACTGAATGAAATAACTGAGTTTTCGGGGTCTGCTAAGGTCCCTGAGCTAAAGCAGAAGTTGAAAGTGTGCAGTCCCGATCAAGGCCAGCTTACTGGCAAGAGTATACACCTGAGCGCAGGGCGCGGGCAGAGCGGCAGAGCAAGACTGTGTTTTCAAGGGTGACTGCAGAGAGAGGCTTCCGCAGTTGACCATGCTCAGCCTCCCCATCCTGCTTTGCGAGGTTCTTCGGAACTGTAATTGATTGCTACAAATTCCCAAGTCCCTCGTCCTGGTTTCTGCCTTATGGTTTGCAAAGTCCACAGTGCTGTTCCTGAGTCCACACAGGCGAACTAGGCAAGGGAACTAACACAAAATGTGCGAATTTACGTTGTCTTTCTAGACTGTGTTTATAAATGCACGTTTTCATGAACACACTTGCAGCACGAAAGAAAAATTACATACACAGCATACATATGCATGTATCTATGAGTTTGCACATAGAAGATCTGTCTACCCACGGCAGGTTTTCAGTGTAAGGATCACGGATTCTCTTGTTGACAGAGATTTGCTCTCTATAATTAGCGGCCAATCAGTACTTTTAGATGAGCCGGTCATTGAATTTTGCAGAGGAGGCGTCAGTCCTCCAACAGCCTGAGGAAAACTTCCTGGCTACCTTCCAGGAACCCTGCAGCCGGTGGGGAATGCCAAACCCATTTAACTTTTGAAAATGTGGGAAACTCGTGCGAGGAATTCTTTGAGGTCTTCGAGGCCGCTTGCTATGACCTCTGGGACCCACATTCCTGTTTGCTGGAAAGAGGACCGTAAAGAAGACTTTGTACCTGCTGCAGAGCCACGGAACCTGCAGAGAAATCCCAGAAGAAAGAAGCAGGCGTCCAGGGGCTGCCGGCTCAGGGTCGGCACGTGACCCGGGGGCGGGGCCACGGGGGCCTCCGGCCAGTGGCCGGGCACGGGGGCGGGGCCTAGGCGGGCCGGGGGCGGGGCCGG